GTAAGGGTTTTGTTTGGCTGTGTAATCGTCTGTTTGATTTATGTATCTGGGGAAAGGTTATGCTCCTTTACATCTTATCCCTATTTTTGTGTTATAGTGTTGTAGTGGAGGAGATGAAAGTTGGTTTTTTCACCTTTTTCTCTCTTAAAGTTTCGTGTTTTATAGGATTAGGTGATACAGGAATTCATGCAACACATTGGTCTTGGCAGAGTTAATTAGCTACAGAAGTTTCAATACTGTACGCATGATCTTGGATGTAATATATCTTGAATATGAAGGTTTTAATTTCTAATCATTTCAGTAGCATCTAACAATAAAAATCAACTTATATTATCTTTATAAAAAATATACTATGGGGAAGAACATGTTGTTCTTCCTACTGCAGGTCATTGCCTTTGTCTCTCGTGCAATGAGTTACTAGAGAGGAAATTGTTCAAGTAACATGCATATAAGGGAAAATAAAATGGACACATACTTTAACTTGGAAGATGTGGTTTTTGATTGGCCATAGAGTTCTTGACTAATCTTTGATGCTGCTCAGATCGCGACAATTTGATGGGTGAGTGAATTTGAAAGCGAAGCAGGGGGCCAATGTAAGTGTTTTTAGTATTATAGTTTGGTCATTATTTTGAGTTCTCACTCTTTATGTTTGATTTAACACGTTGCCCGAAGCCCCATACCCTTTCATATTATAGTGTTGATTGTTGAGACCCTAAGCAGATGATTACATTGCCTTAATATGTTCACATGCTATTTGAATTTTTTCACTTCGTTTTCCATGGCAGAAGGACTATTTATTACTTGAGCAATTTGCGTAGTTGGACAATGAAGTAACTGGAAGATTGGAAACTGAAGAAACAAAATTGTCATAGGATCAAGAGTACAAAAGCAAGCCGAGCATGTTTGTCCATAACAAGGTGGTTGAACATCAGAGGAAACTTTGTTTTTGTTGGTAGCAAGAAGTTATCTTTCATTTAAGTTTTTGTGTATTTTTTTCTTAATGATCCCTTTTATCCTGAGTATTATGTATTGCCCCAAAATAAACATGTAAGGCATATAATTAGTAGAAAACTTGTTAAGCGAGAGATGTTGGTTCCTATAAGCTACATGGATGACGATTTGTTGTCAAAAGATATAGTATAAAAGGGGTCAACATAGTGTCTCCAACTGGTCGCGGTACTATCATGAATTTGATTTTAAGGGACAATATTTTGTCCTTCGTACTAATATTTAGGGGACGACTTAGTGTTACTGAAGTTTTTGGTTATGGGGACGACACATTGTCCCTCGTAAAAAAGAAACTAGACTACAACTCATAAGTATTGGGGACGACTGTCGTCCCTAGTATTAGGGACGACCTAAATTTTTGTTGTCCCCAAAAAAATAGAGGACAAGAGTATAGATGACCAAACATTAGGGACGACTATGTCGTCCCCAAAAACTATGGGGACGATTTTGTCTATTTTTGGGGACGACTTTTGATGTCCCCAAACCTCCTCTTTTTTGTAGTGTAGGTTGTACCCAGTGCTGTCAAAGCCGAACCGAGCCGGCCGGCCGGACCGCCAAAGCCGTCACCCGGCCGTAAAATCGGCTCGGATCAGCTATTTAACCGCCACGGTTTTATACAGCGGCCGGCGAGCGGCCGAAGCGGTTAACCGCTTGAGCCGCGCGGTTCGACCGTTTGGTTTACCCTAAAAAAAAAAGGCCAATCGTGGAATGGGGCAGCCAAACAAAACCCTAACTTTCATTTTATTTCTTCATCTTCGACCTAGAAGTAGAACAGACGACAAAGGGAGAGCGGCGCCACCCTGCCGCCGTCAACCATCGCCCCAGCGCTTCCGTCCTGTCGCCGCAAGCAGCGCGCCATCCGACAGCGGGGTAATTCATCTTCCTTCTTCTTTTTCACTCTTTCCGTTGGTTCTGGGGATTTCTATGTTAGCATTTCTCCAGTGTGGGTATTATTGGGCTGTCGGTGGCGATTGGTTTACTGGGTATTTGATTAGTGGTGGATCTAGTAGTCGTTTGTCTGATCTTGACGTGATTATCGTAGATTTTGAGATTTGCTGATAGGGGCAGCTAGTTTGCTTACGAAATGGACTGCTGGGGGATTAATCGATTAGATCTGTCTTCTAGAAGTTTCAGAATAGTAGTGTTAGATTTTCCATTGTAAATTTGCTGATTTGATCTTTTTTTGGTACCGGTTCTCAAATGGTTTTTAAACGGTCTAATGCCGGCTGGATCACTAATGACCGAGCCGTTAACGTTACCGGGTCATACTCCGGCTCGGCTTTGACAGCATTGGTTGTACCTATACTCTTTTGTAAAATTTATTTATGGTACAAAGTAAAGTTGTACCTTTATGTTATTGTACAACTTTACAACTTCAAGTTGTCCCATAACATAAATGTCAAATTCTCTTATGGTACAACTTCAATTTGTACTTTAGAGCACCAATATTTTAAAGCATAGTAGAAGTGCTCCTACTGTGCATTATATGCATTGAAAACTCTCAGCGTACTTCATGCAATCTCAAAACAATGTTTATGAAATCGTATCATATGCCGATGATCCGACCGAAAAAACCCCTACCAAAATTTTAAATTTATAGGTGGTTTTAGCAATATGAAATGATTGAACTACAGTTAAATCACAATCTCAACACAAAATAACATACCACTAACTTTTTCCAATAGCTCATTTTGATGATATTATTAGCAAGTAATTAACGATGGATAATGCCACTATACGTGTAAGTGGACTTAGTCTCTCAGACAACCGCCAACTGTTTCTTTCCCATCTGCATAATATGATCCAACCTTTTTTTTTCCTTTTCATTAAACATTCCGATAGCTGAGCTGCCAAATATTGGAAGTCCCTGGAAACAGGTCCGTTGACGTTTCTCAGATTTTGTAGTTAGCGGTGCAGTGTCTTTGCAAGGAGCAGCCGACACGTTAGCACCGACGAGGACCCGCCGAGCGGCGATTGATTGACATGATGAGATTATGATTTCGTTGGCCGGCGACGAGGAAAGGTGAGGATGGAGATGGACATTATTCAGTTTGACAAAATGATAAGAGATATTGTTGTATATTTATGGGTTGGGACTTGGGACTGCTTATATCTCACACTACTTGATAAGTGTGAGCGGGATGTGTTAGTAAACGGAATAATTGAACATTTTCTAATTACTCGATCGTGTTATTGGAACCAGTTGTTTATTTAACATTTTCATGGTAAACTCTCACAGGAATGTCGTACAATGAATCTGGATGATGACACTCTCTGACACACAAATGGTATTATTGGGAAGGGTGAATTGTGCTCTGATTTAGTTTGTATTAACGAACACATTATATTTTTTTGTATTGAATTTAAGTGAAGTGACAAAAGAAAAAAAAATGAAGACTAGTGAAGCAATCGATTTATCAATTTGTTAAGAGTGCAATTGAACAATTTATGCGATTTTATTCAATGTTGTTGGAACTTGGAAGCAAACAAGAGTTCTAATCAAATCAAGATAATGAAAAAAATCACACTTTAGTGGTTTATTACTATTGAAACGTTACAAAATAAACAATAAAATTGATTGATTGATGGATTTCTCTGGCTCTGTTTCCACTCCAGCCCCTTTGGTCTTAACCTAATTCTGGAAGAGGGGTGAGTTGATATTAAGGTGTCAAGGCGGTCGAAGAAGGCCACAAGTGGAAGCAACCGATGCTTTGGTCATTTAGTTGACTCCTTGCTCTCAATCTGGATCTTCAGCAGGGGTTTCGGCCGGTTTTACCTACTATTGGATTTGAACCAATGACTCTCGCCGTATGAAAGCGATACTCTAACCGCTGAGTCAAGTAGGTCAAGCTGAGTCAAGTCGGAGAAAAGAAAATAGACCCCTATAAGAGAAAGTCGTGCAACCAGAGTTCCCCAACCTATACAGGGGGGGGGGAGCGCTAAGAAAGAGAAAGCGTTATCACTATACGAAATGAAGCAGTGGCTAGCACGCTAAGATCAACCACTTGGAGAGCGTGGAGCCTTTCTTTCTCGGTCGTCTGTCTTTAATATAAGTGGATTTCGATTCATGTGGTCGTTCTCTATTGCATTGGTGTTTTCACTCCCCACTCTCCACCATAACAAAATGTTTCCACTATATCTCTCATAAGTAGTCAAAGGAAGTACAGCGGGCTTTAGAGAAAAATAACCCATGGTAAGAATCTTGAATGCATCCATTAAACAAGCCCACACAGCGATGAGGAAATTGCGGAAAATAAAAGCCCACTAATCGGATTGTTGATGTTGGGGCTGGGCTCTGAGTGCGAAGTCCGATATACTTGGGCCAAACAAGTGTAAGCTCGTTTTCTCTCAAATGAGAAGTCCACATATGGGGTTTTTTTTACCTCGAGAGCACATTTTGCTTTCTAGAGCCTCTTTGGTGAAGTTAAGCACAAATTCTGCATTAGAAGTTGGAACCTTTTGGCCTTTTGGCAACTTCATTCATTGACCAAAGCGTGTGCAACTATTCTGAATCGCACCAAAACAAATCGATATCTCAAGATTCTCGACTGAATTAAATCAGGATCTATCACAATGTATTTTGATTCCGTCATACAAATTTTATGAGTATTGAAAAAAATAAGAATTGATATTAAAGTCAGATCAAACGGGAGCAAATAAAACGACGATTCGATTCTTGATTCTCTAATTTCATTTACTATTAAATTGCGATTTTCATAATTTGGTCTGATTAGTACCGGATCAAACTGTTGCACTAGTATCCATTTGCGGAACTAGAAATTTGAACGAGGAAAGAGTGACTTAAACTATGATAAAAAAAAAAGAGGAGTTAAGTCCTTATTGACTACTTAATTTTCTAAATCTATTACAAATTTTACATATGTAAATCACTATAATTCCTCCTATCTGGCTCCTCAAATGCAAGAATGATTTGTAGAACGAGTATAGAACTTGTCATCATCAATGGTTGGAAGCAATCGGCGACTTGGTGACCAAACCAGAAGAAAGAATAAGGAAAGGAAATAGGAAGCAGGAGGACCCAACAAAAAACAAAAAAAAAAAACTAAAAGGAAACTTGGGGCATTTTCAACTTGCCCGTCTCTGCCCAGTTGCCACCTTCCTTCCCTCCAAGTTGCATCCAACTAAACCCGAAGAAGAAGAAAAAAGTGAGAGTGACCAATAAAACCCTAAACAAAATACACACACAATCTCCATCTCCCGCGGGAGCTCTATCCCGTCCGATCTTGAACCCGGCGAACGGACCAAGCTGGGAACCATGCGACAAACGCTGCTGATCTTCCCGGAGGTTCGTGGTTGTAACTTTTGGCTGTTGTCTGCTGTTTATTGACACACTGCCTGGCGTTTGAATTCCGTTTCTGGGTCTTTATGAGTTTTCTTGCTGCCAACAGTGGTTTCTGCTAGCGTAACGAATTGGGTTCTCTTCGAAATATGGGAATCGATCGAGCACTGCTTCTGGGTCTTGTTCTTGCCTTGCTCGTCTTCGTTGACTTCTCATGGGCTGGTTCAGAGGTAATCAATGGAGGTTTCAGCGTTTGTACTGTTTGGATTCAGTTTTTTTTTCCCTTCTTCTTTTGGTGTAGGGTGAATTGATTTCGTTAAGCTTGAACTGATTAGGTGGATGTTAAAGGAAATCCGGTTCCGAACTTGAAAAGCGCCAATAACTCAAACGAGAAACCAATTGAGTCAAAATTAGGTTCAGATCCTGTTACTGATGATAAGCAGAAGGAAAAGAAAACGGAGGAGGGGAAAGTAGGTGCAGTGGATCAAGTGAGCAAGCCAAAGGATGCTGCTGTTAGCAATGATGGGCAGCGGAATGATTCGAAAACTGGGAATAAAGAGGCTGATAATGGAAAGAAGGGGAATGCTGATTTAGATGTGCAATTGCAATCAAAAACTGTTGATGGTAATCAAAAGGAGGGTAAGGATGGTGAGAAAGAACCTAAGCTGGATGTGGACACAAAGGATGGAAAGAATGGCGTCCCAGCGGATCCTTTGCCGAAAACTGGGAAGGAGATTTCCCGTGGCGAAGAATGTGATCATTCCAACAAGTGCGTGATTGAGGACAGCAAGCTGGTTGCTTGCATAAGAGTCCCCGGGAATGGTACGTATGTAGTAGTTCACTCTGAATAGAATGTGTTGATGTGTCCTGATGTTGGCAAATTTACATGAGTGCTCAAGGAGATTAAGTTGATATGATGTGGAACTTTCGTATGACATAATAGTTGATCAAGAAGAACCCCATTGTTCAATAGTTTTTGAAATTGGAGTACTTTCGATTTGCTGAGTGGATATTGAAATTGGGAGTGCTCTGATAGCTGATCGATGGATATGCTGTTTCAATTCCTTGATGATTCCGAGAAACTGGTTTCTATCATAACTTTTTGAAGTTTATGGTTTACGTTTTCCCAGTTCTTTATCTTGAAGCATGAATTATGGTTTTGTTATGTCATTTTCGAATTTCTGATCAAGGGTTGCTTCATTTTAAACCCCAGAATCTCCGGATCTATCACTTCTAATTCAGAACAATGGCAACGTTCCAGTCAGTGTCACCATTTTGAGTCCAGATTTTGTTCATCTGGAGACGAAAAACATTCAACTACAGCAAAAAGAAAACAAAAAGGTATGTATTCCCTTGTTTGCTTGCTAATCTAAAGCTCAGGATGTAGATGTTCAGAATTGAACGTTCCTCTCCGTTGTTTTCTTTTCCAGCAAGAGCTTCTCTTGGTTGTGAAAATGATGCCATTACAATATGTTATAATTTTTTAGGTGCACTCTAGTAATGTAGCTCGTTCATGTATTTCGTTCTGCTTAGAACTAGCTTGTCTATGATCGGTTGGTATATGTGAATGTCTCATGCATATGGTTGCAAACTTTTGGTACTGTGTTGGAGGGCCATTTCAGAGTCAACCGCTGAATCAAGCATAAGAAGTCTTATCTGCAATGCTTCGTGCGCATTATGCTCATATCTCTTTTGCCCAATGATTTAATGCCATCTCTTGTATTGCATGTTCTGAACTGTTTGCCTCACCAACTTTAGACAATGTGCACTATGCTTCTCTTGGTTTGACTGCAAATGGCGTTTTGTTGGCCATAAACTATTCAGGTGAAAGTATCCATCGCAGACAGGGGGAGCGACAGCTCCATCGTTCTGAAGACAGCAACTGGCAGCTGCAGCCTCGACATAAGAGATGTCATCGATCATTACCTAGGCGAAGATTCAGACAACTCTCTGGGGGGCTCCACTCAAGCGATCTCCAGGTCAAGGACCCATCTGCTGTACCTTCTTGCATGCTTTGTTGTGGTACCAGTGCTGGTGGGATCAGGCTGGCTGTGCTTCATCCTCTGGAGGAAGAAATTCTCCAATGGCACCGGCGGAAGCTCCAAGTACCAGAGGCTGGAGATGGCTCTCCCCGTCTCAGGTGGCGTCGGGAAAACAGCACAGCCAGAAGCTAACGAGGATGGATGGGACAACAGCTGGGGCGATGATTGGGGTGATGACGAAGAGATGCCTAAAACTCCATCGATGCCTCTCACCCCAAGCGTCTCGGGGAAAGGTCTTGCCTCTCGACGGTTAAACAAAGATGGATGGAAAGACTAGTTGGATTAACAGAAGATTCTGCAACAGAGGGAAATCTTGATAGACCAAACCTGGAGGGTTAGGAAGATCTTGCATCCAAATTTTTGTTTCAGTTATGAGACTCGAAACATATCCCACGAGTCCACGACCACGACCACGAGCTGCTGTGTTTTCCTCTTTCTTATTCTGTCATTTTTTGGGGTTGCAGGAAAGGTCTTCGTATGATTATGAGCCTAATCAGAAGGTAGCTTACTGATTTTATCAAAAGATTAGAGTGCACTTCTACTGTTAAGAGTTGAGCGTAGTAACAAGGAGAACAATATCCTAGTGGAGATTTGTTGTTCTTTGTTTTATGAAGAAAAATCCTGGCCGAGCCTAGGGCCTAGTTTTTGCAAAAGTCCTTCGAAGCCCAGTTACAAAGCTCCATATAACCCAAGTATAAAGTAGGCCCACGATGCAAATGATTCCATTCGTATCTATTTGGGCCATTATATGATACTGGACTTTTGAAAATGTAAGAAAGGAGAAAACAGTCAAGGCCCACATATGAACTAGTGATGGTCATCTCATGGGTGTGTTAGATTAAAAAATCTAAGACAAACTCCTCTGGGCCTTGCTTGCAAAAGAAATTAATTTTGAAATAAAATGAATTATTTAGTTTCTTTTCCAATAATGCTGATACATCTAACCAAATTATATAAAAAGTATACTTACTAATCAAAGACATTTTTTTTCGTCTTAAAAAAAAACCAAATAAATTTGGCAATGCCATGAATTCTGTTTTGTTGGACCATGAGAGGTGACGACAAATGACATAATTATTTCCTCTCCAAATCGCTAATTTGCCGTCGTGTACCCATAAAAACAAAAACCTTATTATGGGCAATTCATTATTGTCTGCAAGTAGGCGTTCTGTTAATATTATATTAAAACAAATCATTTTACATTCCATGTAAAACGAATAATTCTTCTATAATATGAACATCATAATTTCACAAAAATGCATTATTTCTTCCGATTCCCGTAATTTCAGCTGCATCAGCAAAAACAACAAGAAATTCGTCAAAAAAAAAGCAAAAACAACAAGACAAACAAAAGGGCATGTGAGCCCATTGGACCACGTAGGATGCGCCACATGCAATGGCGTTTCCTGTTTTGGTTTTTGCTCCCGTTACAGGTTCTCCGTTTCCCCGTAACGCCGTTTTGCTGTATCATCATTACGCATGAAATGCCCGGCGACGGCGAGGAAGCGGAGGGGAGGCTCGCACGTGGCGGGGCCCAAATCGGGGAAGATTGTCAGAGTGCACGTGCAGCCACATGAGGATTAATTACTGCATCCTCGCCTCCCCCACACGACACGTGTCGGGACCTCGCCGCGAAACCACTTGACGGACAGCCGATCACCGTCGATGGCGAATTTTGCGTGATTGAAGGCTTGTGAAAGCTTGGCTCCTGGCCCGTGGGAATCGTGGATGGGACATGGACTTACATCCTATTCCTCATACAAGTCTGCATCGGCGGATCTAGGATAGGGTAGAGCACTGGGCCATATACGAGAAAAAAGTAAAAAAAAAGGATTGGGTCGTAACTCGACATGAACATAAACGGATACCTGAAATCTGTTAGAGTGTGGAATAAGATCCAGTATAACCTTATCCCAACAACTCGAGTTATTGGGACTAACTGGTTTATGGCATGGTATCAGAGCTGGTTTGACCAAGTGGTCGTGTGTTCGAATCTCCACGACTCCCAATATTAACAGTTGATTAAAGCACAAGGTATGGTGGGTCTGTGCAAACTTCAAGCCCGTGAGTTGGCTTTCGTTTGAGGGGGCGTGTTAGAGTGTGGTATAAGATCCAGTATAACCTTATCCCAACAACTCGAGTTATTGGGACTAACTGGTTTATGACAAAATCGAAAATTTACAACGGTTATACTAGCTCCGAATCTCGAGAAGGGCTGGGCCGGGGACGGCCCCCCTAGATCCTCCGCTGCAAGTCTGGACGGAGGCTAGCTAATTGGTAGTTAGAATAATTATTGGACGGTGTAAATATAACTCGAATTATCGAGAGAGTTTTAATTATGAATCATTCATCAACATGTTTGCTGAGGAGAAAGTTACTCATGTAAATTTAGAGTTTGCACTTGCATCATGTTTATCGATGGGGTTGTCGAGATTACGAATAGCAAAACATTTGACTAACACAATTAGTTAATCAAAGTTCTCATAATCAAAGAAGAAACATAGCTTTCTGATAACCCATAGTTTACAAGGAAGGATTGCAGCATGGAAGTTGTCGTGTAACGAGGCAGTGATCTCTGACCATTTTAGGTATGGAATCGGATAATTGTTATTTGTTTGGGGTAAAAAAATATTGACCTTTGTCGTCGTTTTACTGAGAAATGAATAAACAAAAAGGAACTGGTGGCGCAAATTGGGCAATATATATGGAAGGGGTTGGAAAAGTCCAAAAATGGGGGACGTAAAATCTGCCACAACTGCACATGATCGGAGATGAAAATCTGGGGGGGATGCAGCCGTCGGTGGAAAACGTTAGAAATCTGGGATTCTGGTGTCGGGATTTGCAGACCAAAAGGATCAAAAACCTGCTTCAATTTGGCAACTGTGCTGCTGCTGCTGCGGTTGTGGGGCTCTATGCAAAATATATGCAATGCACTTAAATTTACCAAGTCTGTTGGCCTGTTGCATGCATATCTAACTATTATTTTGGCGACGGTTGACGTGACTTGAATCGGACTATCAGCCGTTACGACTGAAATAGTCGGAGGTCTCGCGGTGTATGAGCTCAATGTTATTTGGGGTCTGGTTTCTGGACCTGGTCTGTAGCCGTTTCCTTTGCCATATTGGATTAGGTTTAGACCCACATGGAGAAGTACTATAATCAACATAAAAAAGAGTCTAAACGGTCATTTATACCGAGAGAAATCGTCAATATATAACACTCCCGTTTGTGAAAAGAGAATAACATACTATTCGTCATTTCTATATAATTTGATTCGATGATACAAGCTACTACTACAATTACAACCAAAAAAAGATGGGAGTGGAAAATTAAAGGGCGAGCACTCTTAAGATTGTCTTATGCAAGCACAAATTTGGTGACAAACTTTAGTGGAGTCTTATTGTGATTAGTAGCGCAATCAATGGTGATAAAGTGGTGTTATATATTACTAGTATTCAATCAAATTTAACGTTGCATGTGTATTATTTGGTTGTTGGGATATCATTGTCACGAAAAGGACTGAAAGGACCCCAGTCGAAAAACTGACGTGCGTCGCGTCGGAGATATATATCCTAACCGGTTGAAGCTATAAAAAGATGAAAGCCCAATTAGTTACTAATCATTAACCAATTATCGGTTTGGGTGAAATAATTGTACGACTGAAATGTGACAATTAGAGAGCAGGCAATTAAACATGTTTGTAGTCAATTTGTCGGTAAGACGTAGAACCAGGAGTAAATTCTCTATTTTTATAGGATAAGTATTAGAGGGATACATACAAAGAAAAACAAAACATCAAACGTGGGAGAAGCCGGCAGTCGGAACGTAGTGATGTCCGATTAACAGGCCGCCGACGTTTTGTTTTGTTTTGTTATTTACCGGCCGATGGTCCCCGTTAGTAGTCACGAGACAACTCTGGCAAATATAGTATTTGGTATTTGTATTCCACTACTTCTATTATGTTATAAAGTATTATTGGTGTTTTAATTTACAATTTGAAGTTGTACCATAATATTAAATGTATAAGTTCAGGTTTTTACCATAAAAAAATTTGTACCCTAATGTTGTAGTACAATTTTACAACTTAAAGTTGTACCATAAACGAATTTGTACAAAAAAAGTATATGTACAATATGAATTAGTTGTATCATAATGTTAAAAGTACAACTTCAAGTCGTACTATAAAAGTAAAAACCTATAGCACCGTAAAATCCCACATTTGTATTCACGTTGGATTTTCACGACTTATCATTTTGAAGGATAACTTTTTAGAAGTTATTGGAAAGAGCCGTAAATCCTAATTACTTGTTCTCGTAAGTTTTATAAATGTTGATGTGTCGAGATAGAAGTGGACTCGACTATATAAAACATGACGAGTCGTAAAATAAACTAACATGTTACATGTATGCACAGGAACTCATCAGTAGTTGTTGAATCAAGTCGTTAAAATAGCGATTAATATGAAGTGAACGTTGACTCATTGTATTAGCGAACCATAACCAAACGTCCCCATATGCTATAAATTCCGAGCAGCAGCCACTACAGCTAATGTCATAACGTCACCAAACAGATGGTAGTGCTCAAATGAAAAAGACCCAAAATGGAATTGGTTTAAGCTATTTAATTACCTCTTAGGTAGTGAAATCATGATCAGTGTACCCAAAATTCAGGGATTCAGCAATGTTTCAGAATATCACAAGGCAACGAAACAGTCCAACAAATCATGCAGCTAGCAAGAGGTTATATAATGATGATATGGTAATGGAAGAAGCACTTAAATTGGGTTTATAATTAGTGGAGGAAACCAAGATTTTGAAGAAGATTTTGCTTATACTCAGTGGCGGCAGGTTGAGAAAAGTTGGCAAAAAACACCATCTCATGCTCACATACCGGCTAAAGATGAATAAATTATAGTATTCGGATAATAAATTATGACGCGCCCGAGATCATTAACGGTTGAGGTGCAGATTGAGGCGGGTAAGCAGCCGATCACGAAATCTTGGTGATCTTGAGTGATTGAGCCATGTCGTGTATCCCTGAGCGTACTTTCAAATAATACGATCGATTATATTCCTATTTTTCACAATGAATGACATATGTAATTGTAATTATGGGAATGAAATGTATGTGTTTGTTCGACAATATCCAATACACTGATATTGGAGGGGGCACACCGCACACGTACGATAAAGGTAAAAGCCTTGCAGGTCCCAAATGCCTGCATGCGTTCTTCTTTTTCTTCCTTTTTTTTTCTTCTTCTGTTGATTGGTTACACAGTTCATAATCATTGTGTCTAATTGGCTAGTGCCGGTCTCTCGATCGAGGCTTTCTCTCATGCTGGAAAAGAAGAACGCTCTCAATGATGGGGAACTGTCCTTGGAGCTCCTAAAAAGAGTGGATGTGGAAATAACTTCTACTGATCACTAAGGTCGGTTTGTTAATTCCCATCACTCGAGTTGTTATGAGAAGATTAATTATGGATCGTATACAGTCTACTACACGTGGTCCGAAAGAAAAATCAACTTACCGATTTGAACTTTGCACAGATCCATGTTTAAATCAACTGTTCATCTTAGGGCCGGGTTATGAAGGTTGGAACACACAGTTATTTAGCCAGATCATATTTGAGACCATATCATAAATCAACTGTCCC